ATATATATATATATATATAAATAATATCGAACAAAACGTTTTTAATTTAGTGATATGTGTCCTTGTTTTTTCTTCTGTCTTTTTGGAATGGGGTCCGGACTCTACGATAGAGTTCCACTCTACGATAGTTCTCGAAAAATACGATTTCTTTAGTACCTCAATTATAAGTATAGACCTGTCACCTCCAAGACACCGGGAGATTTTTCTCGGAGATTCTTTGTTTAACAGACGGTCTCCTTTTCTTACATGGTCGTCCCAGTGTCGGCTGCTGCTCCGGACAAGCGGGATTTGTCAGCCAACTTTCTGATCCAGCGACTGGAAGGTGACACTTCACTTTCTTTTTCTTTCATTTAGCCTATATTGATTTGATTGTATGAATGAAATCCGCGTGCGCTTGAATTCTCGACCGTTTCCGGTAGTAAGTCATACAAAGCAGTTGCAAAATGAGCAATGTGGGGTCGTTGGGCGTAGCGGCAGAGTGCTCGACTCGGAACCCAGAGGTCCCAGAGGTCCCGGGTTCGAGTCCTGACATGCCACCGATCTTGTGCCCTTGGGATATGCACATTACACGACTTTCCTCACTTCACTCAGGTGAAAATGAGTATTGTATTGTCCTCTGTGTTGGTGGCGGCATTAATATAAGTTGATATAACTTGTGTGTGCTGTCACCACTTCTTGTAATTACATGTTGGAATATATAAAAAAAGAGCAAATATATGCTGTAATTTACAAAAAAAATATTGGAAAACGATACTAACGTTGTAGAAAGCCAAAATCAATTCCAAATGAAAAGAAGAAAATGTGAAGGAATGAAAATTAAAAGTGTATTTATTATTATTCACCATACCACAATCTGTGTGTTTAGTCATTTGGTTAACCTTCATTACCACGTAGATTTTATAAGGAAGGCAACTTTTTCATTCGCACGCTCGCATCCGTTCTGGGGTTTTCAGGAGGTGTCATCCATATATTCAAATCAGCATGGCCTTATCCATAAATAACAGCAGTAGACTAACATCCCGATGTCACCGCGCTTTGTTATCACATATTTCTTGTAGCCTCGACACCTAGAATAGGCCCTGTTGGTCTAGTGGGCCACACAAGGCTAGTTTTGCGGTATGACTTAATACTTCAACCGACCTCAACCGGCCTCAACAGACCTCAACCGACCTCAACCGGCCTCAACCGACCGCTTCATGGTCGAATATGTGGTATACATGAGTTACAAATCCATCTCAACATTATGGATACATTGTCTACGCAATTATGAATAGGAAAAACACTGTAACTCTGGCGTTTTTTTACGGTGCAAAATAAGGAAAGTAAAAGAGCTTGTGCAGCACGGAAAACTCAACAGATATACAGGGAACCTCTTTAAAAATGTTTACGGAGGTGGATTTAATACTTTAAAGGGTAATTTTGTGGCCCGGAAGGGGAAAAGCTTGATGCTAGAAATTGATTGTAGAGATACCCTTAAGCATTATATTGTTGTTTAAACGACTTTCCTTAAATTATTCCCACAGAATTTCTGAGGGATGACGGCGGTGCGAGTGCAGAAAGTGCTGGAGCATCTACGGAAGAGGTAATGCACATTTTCTCCATAAATTGTGCCTGTTGTACCAACATATATCAGGATGATAAAATACACCCAACTTTACGCAAAAAAAACCAGTTACTCAAGCAACTGGATATGATTTTGGAAAAGGTCAGACGTTTCAGGTAGCATCCACTACCTTTCGTCAGCACTGATGCTATATGAAACGTCTGACCGTTTCCAAAACTATATCCAGTTGCTTGAGTAGCTGCTTTTTGTCGTATCGTATTATCTGGATGTCTAACCTTCGCCGACGTTAATTCAACTTTAGCACTAAAATAGGGGAAAACATTACGTTTTAGCCAGCTTCGGCTTAGCTGATTTCGAAATAGCTGTAGCAAAGGAATTTTGTTGAAACAGTTTAACTTCAAAGGTGAACCCTCCACATATACATTGCCCGTCATATTTAAGCATCTACGATACTTTAGACATAACTTAGCTTGACTTAACTGTTTGTTGATTTATTGATTGCTTCCTTGATTCTTTCGTAAGTTTGCATTTTTCCTCGTCCCAAATCATCATAGTTTTCTAGAAGCTCTTGTCCAACATTGCCTTCCACATGTACAACCAATCAGCATGTTTTGTTGTGTCTCTTCATGATGCTTTTCAATGTTAGTGAGAAGTGGTCTCACAGTCTTTATTCTCCCGTGTGCTGGTACGGCCACACTGACTTAATTTCATGGATGACATCCCCTGAAGACCCCCAGACTAGTGCGCGCGGGCGAATAAAAAAATCCGGCCAACATAAAAATGCTACTAAACCACAGGAATACAATTCTAGTATTGTGAATTTTCGGCAGTACTTAGCGACGTTATACGAAAAGCCGGCACATGCTGGCTTTTTGCGGAATTTATAAATCGGCACTGTATGTATGTACTGAGTTCTTGAGTCGTGGACCTTCGGTAGCCTGGGTGCTCGGCTCCGTATTGTCGATAACTACCATGGACTACCCAGGCCTAGAGCCAGGCCAGAGCCTCGGTGGACGTGATATTTTTTTTGAGAACAGGCCAAATTCAGGGCGAGCGGATGTCATCCATAAAATTAAGTCGGTGTCAAACCGTAGTCTTCTGGCTCGTGTCTTGTCCGAGAGTTTTGCAAGGCCCCGCAGTTAGTTTTTTTTGCTTGTCTGATGTTGTCCCCAATGTACGGAAATAAAAGTCCATATCATCACATTTATCCTGTGTTCTGTCAAGCTTGGGGCAGGGTGTAACCGTCCAATTGTTTTGTAAGCTTGGGGTGAACTGTCCATTTTTGTAAGGCTTGTGGTGTAACAGAATCTGATGTTTTTCAAGCTTTGGGGTAACCGTCCAATTGTTTTGTAAGCTAGGGGTGAACTGTCCATTTTTGTAGGCTTGTGGTGTAACCGTCGAAATGTTTTTCAAACTTTGGGGTAAGCGTCCAGTTGTTTTGCAAGATTTGTGCCGGGTGTAACCGCGTCCAGTTGTTTTTCAAGCTAGCTAGGGAGCCGGGTGTAACCGTCCAGTTGTTTTGCATGCATGCTTGGGGTGTAACCGTCCAGTTACGTTGTTAATCAAGATTGAGGCCCGGTGTAAGCGTCCAGCTGTTTCCTCTTGGTCTTCAAATTTTGGGTGTCGGAAGTATTAACTGTCCAGTTGTTTTTTCAAGCTTGGGGCCGGATGAACTGTGAAATTTACGGTTTTTTTTTCAAGGGTTGTGTGTCGGGTGTAACCGTCCAGTTGTTTTCAAGCAAGGAGACAATCCTCCAGTTCAAGTTTTAAACTTAGGGTTTGAGTGTGTGGATAGAATGACCGTCCGGAAGTTTGGGGGTAGCTGCCCAGTTATTTTTGTAGGGGGTTAGAATGAACGTCCAGAAGTTTGGGGGTATCTGTCCAGTTATTTTTGTAGGGGGTTAGAATGACCGTCCAGAAGTTTGGGGGTAACTTCCCAGTTATTTTTGTAGGGTGTTATCTAGAATGACCGTCCAGAAGTTTGGGGGTATCTGCCCAGTTATTTTTGTAGGGGGTTAGAATGACCGTCCAGAAGTTTAGGGGTAGCTGTCCAGAAGTTTAAAGTGTTGTAACTGTTGGTGGTATAATGGGATAGAATCTTATACCTATAGCTATCCAACGTAAAAGTAGTTAGTTTTTAAAGACAAAACTTTTCAGTACTGTTTATGTCTCTTCGTACGTGTGAACATGAATATGTATATGAGCCCATGGTCACTAATTTTTCGCGTACCCCACTTCTACAAGTGCATCTGCACATATCCTTTACTAGTTTTCACCCCCTCCCCCTCGATACAGCCCTTCTCCCCATACCGCTCTCCCAGCGAAACCGTCGGGTTCACAGAAACAAACGCAGGCCGCTAGGAATTAAAGTTTACGCAGAAGGCTGATAGTATATATCTGTAGTTTAGTGGTATCCCTTCCCTCTGGCAGTGACTAAACTGTCCCAGGGATGGATTAACTGCTAAGCTTTTACCAGCCGAGCCGCCTCTGCAGCGTTTGCTCTTGTAATGGCTGAGGTGTACCAAGCATTACGTGTTGACAGAGATATAGATCTACGCTCGGTTGGACATACCTGTCGGACCCGGCGTGTTTCTGCTCGACCGGCAAAGAATGTCATTAGAGACAGGTGAATTTGCAGTCGGTCGCTGTGGGCTATTAAAGGGGCTCTCCACTCCAGAAGTGGGTATTATTTCCCGATAGATGATGTTTAGGGGGATACAAAGGCACCCGACTTTTTGCTAAATTACCCGTAGCTGTCTTTTAGACAATGATCCTTTTCTAAACCCATGTACCCCCATACAGAACCGCTTCTGATGTACAACGCTGTGTACATATACATTTGCCTGTATGGTCAACTTCGAACACGAATTATCGCTGATAATAGACGGCCTTAGCGTAACAGCAGCGTTCGAGTGACTATCACACATTTAGGAAGGTTCACAAAACGTTGATACCCTAAGCCCGTCTTGGGATACAGAGATTTGCGCGCTTTTTATTTGTCGAACTTTCCCCATCAACACACAGTGCGCATTGAACTCTGGGTTATCCGGGAGGGTCTTTCCAGGGTTTTTACGGATTTGATCAATATTATAATAATGTTCGCCCTTTATTCAAGCTTCAACGTATAGTAAATTTGACACAACAAAGTGGATTCCAGCATAACAATTTATTCTCTGATGAATCATTATAATACCCGCTTCTGCAGTAGAGAGCTCCTTTAAGCGAGGGTCACAACCGCCGTACGTATTTTTTAGTCCGTACGTTTTTTCGGGAGGCCACGTGCGCAACGTTTTTCTGAAAACGTGGGGAAGGTCTGGCAAGAGCAAGGAGGGAGGGAGGGAGAGAGGGAGGGAGAGAGGGAGGGAGGGAGGGAGAGAGGGAAGGAGGGAGGGAGAGAGGGAAGGAGTGAGGGATTACAAATAGCCTATAACCTTCACTTACAGTAAATGTAGCATAAATGTGTGGAGAACGAGTGAGAGTGCAACTTTACTAGCATTGAGGTCAAAATGTGCCATTTTCGATGAAAGAAAGTTAAATCATGACAATGACATATCGTCTTTTATAAACAAAAGGAGGGGAGGGGGAGAGGAAGGGGAAATCGGCTAATGTTCGGGAGGTCATGTAAAAAATGGATCTCCCCTGAGTGACGTCCCGCTCCATTTGCTACAGCCATGTTCGCCTGAATAAACGTTACAGGGCTTTGGACAGGATTGTCATCAATTTGAAACAGGATTCAAAGGCTGGCTGATGCCATACACGGTAAGACGCACCGGTAGCATTACACCAATCTGTTGCAACCGTACTGACGTATGGGCCCTGACGGATGACACGAACAGAGCTATACGTCACTAGGTAGAGGGGGAGGGAGGGGGGAAGGGGGCACCAAAATGGTTTGCAGGGCACAGCCCAGTAATAGGGCTTTCCTATGTTAATATATGGGAATTATGTCAAAACAACGTGGTCAAAATTCATATACCTGAGTTTTAGACCTTGAACAACACACATTCCCAGGGTAGTCCAACCTCTCAAGTCTCCATTCACCAAAAATGAAAAAATCCTACGCACCTAAACCATGCGAGAATTCTTCCCGGACATTGAGAAGTGCCCCCCACCGCTCTGGACAGCTGATGACAGCATGTAAACCTATATCTTCTTTGGCGAGTCAGACAACACAAACATGGCTGCAAGTCTGTTTTTTCAACAAAATTAAAATACTAAAACCCTTACCTATAACATCCAAGTCCAAAACAACAACATTTCCCAAGAAAAAGACTTCTTTACACTTTACATTACATTGCCATCTCTACAACTGGGCTCTCTGCGCCTGCGCTGATTACTGACCTTTGCCCTGCACTTGGTGCTGAAGATCCTTCATTTAGTCATTTTGCGGCACTGAATTGACAAATCTACAACGTGTTCCTATTGAACTACAATAAAAACGCCTTTAGTGCATGTGCAGGGAGGACATGTCAGTACTCTGGGTGCCACATACCACAGGTGAATAAAATACACAGCGTGTGTGTCTTCACAGCACGCGAGGTTGGCACGTACTCATGAAGACATCGACCTACAGAGTTAGTTCCTCACGTACATTGTATCTGGACGTAGTTGAAGGTCTTCCCCGACTTTATTTTAACAATTCAATCTTTGGGGGGGGATTCCAGAGGAAAAATATTCATTGTTTATCCTTATTGACAGATCTCCATTAGTGAATACAATGTATACTACAATAGTCTTCCAGGAGTCTAAAAAGTTACACATTACACTACCTACGCTTACATAGATAAGAACTATCTTCACTGAAAGAACAACACAATTGACAGGAAAAAACTAATATAGGTCAGAGGTCAGGCTCATCATATAAGTTAATTTATATACAAGTAGTATATAAACTGTTCTTCTTTAGCCTAAATATTCTATATAAACGCTTCTATGTATTATGTATATATTACATATAATCTATTATATGTGTTATCTTCAAGGATGAGTCGTCGTCTGGATCAGGAGAAGGCAGCGAAGAGGCTGCAGAAAGGCGCGAAGAGACGTTCTTAGAAACACGTGGTGAGTTTATTTTGGAACATGTGCCATTTTTTGACGACTCTTGGTGGCAAATATGCAGATGTTGGCAATGTTCTGCAAAACATTGCCGAACTGTGTTTCTGCAAATCCGCAGTGCAAAAACTATGTTTGTGTTGGAACCAAAGTTTTACCTTGAAACTGAGTTGAGTTACTAATGTTATCGTGCTGTTTTTTTTAAAAGGATATTCCGGGTATACACAGCGTGGCGGTACCCAGTACAAGGTGTTCGCCCAGCTCAAGTCATACCAAGCTGCCAAACAGACCTGTGCAGCACAGGGAGGTCATCTGGCCGACGTCAAGACTCGGGCGCTGCACAACTTCCTCCTGTCCGAGATCCGGAAGGTTGACGCCAACAGAGACTACTGGATCGGGCTCAACGATATAACAGTAAGTGTCGCACCGATTGGCAGATTCTTATTCCTTTATAGGCATCGGGTATACATGCAGTGCTTTGTAGTCGCTTTGTAACCAGGAAGTCGTGAGTTCAAACCCGGGTCGGGTCATACCAAAAACTTTGAAAATGGTAAAAATGTACATACTGCTTTCTCTGCTTAGCGCTCATCTATGAGAAAAAGTATGGGATCATGTCAAACACACAACACTACCAGCGGACTAGCCCCCCGTTGTAGTGCTTGTACACCTGTGTGGCCCAACGGATACAGAAATGGACATGGACATCCCTATGCTCAGCAGAGTGGAACGGGACTTTTTTTGTAGTAATAGAATGGAGATCATATCGTTTTTGCAGTGTTCCCCCTCTTTCCGTCTATAGATGTATTCAGACTAAACTGCACACAAAAATTCGGATTTAACAATGGTGTCAAATGCCAGGTATATTTAGGCCTGGTACACTGCATGAAAGCTTGTCTTTAAGCACATCTTAAAGCATATGTTTAAATGTACGCGCGATTAGATTTAGCTAAAACATGGAGCTTCCATCACCAGCCTGGTGTGATGGAAGCTCCTTGGCTAAAACTAGCAGTGTGCTAGAGTTGTCCATCACTATGTCTTGTGTTTGTATGTTGTTTAATAGAAAGCAATTCCTTTCTATAGGTTGAGAACACGTGGACCTGGTCTGACGGGACGCGGATCAGCGATTGTGACTTCAAAAACTGGGCACCAGGAGAGCCGAACAACGCGTACGCCAACCGAGGGGGCCCGGGCCAGGACTGCGGGCAACTCTGGAAATCTCGAAGCTTCCAATGGGACGACGATACGTGTACCAACCAGAAGTACTTCATCTGTCAGAGAGGTACTCTTCTTCCCACATTCAAACTTTCTTACAGAACCTGAGAATTGTAGACTTCCGAAAATAATTATTTCATCAGGTTAGTAGGACATAGGATATAGGAATTTTTTCTCACCTGCTTACGTTATGGTGGAAAAAAGAAATCGGTCTGGATAAGAAAGTCAACCTCAGTGATGAAGGGGGGGATACAAGCGTAGCCATATTAGGAATTGTGTTATCGCCGCAAAAATGCCACCTACATCGGCTACACATAGCGAGGAGTAGCAGAGTAGCAGTACTCTAGTCAGAAGCGAGGAGTAGCAGAGTAGCAGTACTCTAGCTCTGAGGGACATCGAAACGTCAGCAGGTGAAATACAGTACCGGTTGTGTAAGAATAAAAATCCCTATATCCTTGAGAACTAGACCTCCGAAGTGTACATGAAACTTAATCATTAAAGAATAACTTTGCTGCCTGGGTCACTGTATTGTGACATTGCAGTTTGTGTATTGTGGTTTTCTTGGTTTTGTCCTTACCGAATTCATTTTATTTCTTGCCATTTTGCACATTTCCAGGTCCGGGCGAAGAGAATGTGTGTGGATCAGGAGGTGAGATGAACATTACATACTAGTACCCCATGAGCTGTGTCTATATCCTTTCAACACATTCATGATCAATAAAGACAAGAATCAATGGACTGTTTTTTTTAATCAAGAAAGAAGCAATTTGATTATCCCCCAGCTATCCCAATAGTCTGCTTCTCCAGACTGTATTCAACAGCCACATATTTGAACCTGCAAAGACAACACTGAAGATGAATACCATTTTCCAATGAAAAATTTATGACCTCGTGTAACAACAAAACAACATTTACATGTACGTGGAACAAAGCAGAGAGAAATATTCAACATCAACGATCTTTCATCATATTCACCTAGGCCAATAAGTTTATAATCCTCTAGACCACATATGGTCAGATTTAGGCCATTTGGGCAGAAATATGCAATAAATATGACATCAAGGATAAAATGCTATACAAAAGAGAGTCGTGTCATAACAATCTGATATTCCATTGTTTCATGTCACGTTGGGAATATGTACTTTAATATCTAAGTTCTGACTTATATTGTTTGACTTTGTGTCCATAGGTGCTGGATCGGGGCAATGTGGTAAGTGCCTGGTAAACGTTGTTGACTTCTTTTGTAAGCTACGATTAAAATTGGTTGCGAAAGAACTTTCCATGTGATAAGACATGATCCATTTTGATGAACTTGAAAGATTCAAACATCATTTGTCATGAGAAACAATAACTATTTTTTAAACCTTCTCTCAGAATTTCAACAACTACATCTTAACGCTAGGCTTCCTGTGCGTGCGTTTTCACTTGAAAACAATACATTTATAATCGCTAAAGAAGATACGTCTACCAGGCTTTTTGGAGAAAATCAGAGCTACAAGAATTGAAACAGTTACGTTATTTGTCAGGCTTTCTGTGGCAAACTCAGAAATATAAGAACACTGAAGCAGTAACGTTATTTGTTTTGCAGCTGCTAGCTCCACCAATATTGCCCGGGGCCGTCCGACACAGCAATCGAGTGTCGCCCATGGGGGCGTGCCTGGACGGGCGGTGGACGGGAACACAAACTCCCAGTGGGGGGGAAGTTCCTGCACTCACACCGGAAACGACAACCAGCCGTGGTGGCGGGTGGACCTGGGGTCCTCCAATTGCGTGGACCGCGTTGTCGTCACCAACCGCGCGGACTGTTGCCCAGAACGGCTCCAAAACTTCAAGGTGTACGTCGGAGATAACCCGAATGTTGTCGCCAACCCTACGTGCGGCGGAGCGCAGTCTGTCACCGGCAAGGCAACGATCACAGTGGACTGCGGCGGCCGGACGGGCCGATATGTGGGGATAGCTCTACCGGGCAGGCAGTATCTGACGCTATGTGAAGTGCAGGTCTTTGGAGGTATACTTTGTACTGCTTTCTTTTTTTTCATTTGTATTGTTCCTGATACTATGCTGCATGGTGTTTTCTTGAAGATATGGGACTATGTGGTAGATAGCGCACCATCTTCAGCACTATCTGTGTTGGTAGTTACAAGGTAAAACTGTCGTTCCAACAAAAAATACAAATGTTCTCACCTAGAACTTTTGACCAGTCACTCTAGTCTTCCTCAGTAGACTGACCCAGTGAGACTTGTCATGTGGCTTCGTCGTTGACCCAGTGTTGACGTCACACTTCAGAGAGGCCACGTGACAAATCTCACTGGGGCAGTCTATTGAAGAAGACCAAAGTGACTGGTCGAAAGCTCTAGGTGAGAACATTTGCGACTTTTGGTGGAAAATATGCAGATGTTGGCAACATCTGCAAATCCGTAGTGCAAAAACTATGTTGTGCAAATTCGTAGTGTGTTTTTGTCACACATTCAGACAGATTAAATAGCCAAAGAGGCTCGGTGGGCGTCACTCCACCGTTAGGGAAGGGAAGGTATCGTAAAGTGTCTTTTCCAAGGGCACAACGTTGGGATATGGTGAGTATCGAACCCGGGACCTATTGGCTCCGAGTCCACCGCTCTAACCGTTGCACAACCGACAGAACTTATAATTAGTCCTATTGATTTGTAAGAAGTGATACACTACGAAAACACGCCTCTGGATACACAGAACGGTGGTCATTCTCCCAAAATCTCAAACATGAGCAGGAAAATAAGCAAAGTGTTGAACGATTTTTTTTAAAGTTTCAAAGAAAAATGTTTAACTGTTTGGTGGTTTCCTTATTATCCACACATAGTTTGTTCTCAGTAGCGTAAAGTTCAGAGACAGTATACACTGCCTTTGATTGGAGCGTTGTGGAAAACGTACTTTAATATCTAAGTTCTGACTTATATTGTTTGACTTTGTGTCCATAGGTGCTGCATTGATTAAGCTGCCTTCACAATGTGGTAAGTGCCTGGTAAACGCTGTTGACTTCTTTTGTAAGCCACGATTAAAATTGGTTGCAAAAGAACTTTCCATGTGATAAGACAGGATCCATTTTGATGAACTAGAATGATTCGAACATCATTTGTCATAAGAAACAATAACTATTTTTTAAACCTTCTCTCAGAATTTTAACAACTACATCTTAACGCTAGGCTTCCTGTGTGTGTGCTTCAATTGAAAACAATACATTTATTTTCGCTAAAGAAGATACGTCTACGAGGCTTTCTGAAGAAATCAAAGCTACAAAAATTGAAACAGTTACGTTGCTTGTCAGGCTTTCTGTGGCAAACTCAGAAATATAAAAACATTGAAGCTGTAACGTTATTTGTGTTGCAGCTGCTAGCTCCACCAATATTGCCCGGGGCCGTCCGGCACAACAATCAAGTCAATACGACGGAAATTCCGTGGCTGGACGGGCGGTGGACGGGAACACAAACGCCCGGTGGTCGGGAAGGTCTTGCAGTTGCACCCGGAACGACAACCAGCCGTGGTGGCGGGTGGACCTGGGGTCCTCCAATTGCGTGGACCGCGTTGTCGTCACCAACCGCGCGGACTGTTGCCCAGAACGGCTACAAAACTTCAAGGTGTACGTCGGAGATAACCCGAATGTTGTCGCCAACCCTACGTGCGGTGGAGCGCAGTCTGTCACCGGCAAGGCAACGATCACCGTGGACTGCGGCGGCCGGACGGGCCGATACGTGGGGATAGCTCTACCGGGCAGGCAGTATCTGACACTATGTGAAGTGCAGGTCTTTGGAGGTATACTTTGCACTGCTTTCTTTTTTTCATTTGTAGTGTTCCTGGTACTATGCTGCATGGTGTTTTCTTGAAGATATGGAACTAAGTGGTAGATAGTGCACCATCTTCAGCACCATCTATGTTGGTAGTTACAAGGTCAAACTGTCGTTCCAACAAAAAATGCAGATGTTCTCACCTAGAACTTTTGACCAGTCACTCTAGTCTTGCTCAGTAGACTGACCCAGTGAGCCTTGTCATGTGGCTTCGTCGTTGACCCAGTGTTGACGTCACACTTCATAGAGGCCACGTGACAAGTCTCACTCGGGCAGTCTATTGAAGAGGACCAAAGTGACTGGTCGAAAGCTCTAGGTGAGAACATTTGCGACTTTTGGTGGAAAATATGCAGATGTTGGCAACATCTGCAAATCCGTAGTGCAAAAACTATGTTGTGCAAATTCGAAGTGTGTTTTTGGCACACATTCAGACAGATTAAATAGCCAAAGAGGCTCGGTGGGCGTCACTCCACCGTTAGGGAAGGGGAAGGGGAAGGGAAGGTAGCGTAAAGTGTCTTTTCCAAGGGCACAACGTTTGGGACATGGTGAGTATCGAACCCGGGACCTATTGGCTCCGAGTCCACCGCTCTAACCGTTGCGCAACCGACAGCACTAACTAAAGTCCTATTGATTTATAAGAATATCATAAGTGATACACTACGAAAACGCGCCTCAGAACACAGAACGGTGGTCATTCTCCCAAAACCTCAAACATGAGCAGGAAAATAAGCAAAGTGTTGAACGATTTTTTGAAAAGTTTCAAAGAAAAATGTTTAACTGTTTGGTGGTTTCCTTATTATCTACACATAGTTTGTTCTCAGTAGCGTTAAGTTCAGAGACAGTATACACTGCCTTTAATTGGAGCGTTGTGGAAAACGTACTTTAATATCTAAGTTCTAATATTGTTTGACTTTGTGTCCATAGGTGCTGGATCGGGGCAGCAATGTGGTAAGTGCCTGGTAAACGCTGTTGACTTCTTTTGTAAGCTATGATTAAAATTGGTTGCGAAAGAATTTTCCATGTGATAAGAGATGATCCATTGACCAGTGTTGACTTGAATGATTTGTCATGAGAAACAAGAACTATTTTTTAAACCTTCTCTCAGAATTTCAACAACTACATCTTAAGTAACGTAAGATACAGTACCGGTTATGTAAGAAGAAAGGTCCCTATACCCTTGAGAACTAGACCTCCGAAGTGTACATGTAACTTAATCATTAAACAATAACTTATTTTTATGTGTATGTTGACTTATTTGTTGAACGGCGGTACCTGAAATCAGTCGTTGCTGCCCGGGTCACAGTATTGTGACATTGCAATTTCAATACATAGAATAGAAAATGAATAAACTTGAGAACTGTGGTTTTCTTGATTTTCTCCTTACCGAATTCATTTTAATTCTTGCCATTTTGCACGTTTTCAGATCCTGGAGAAGAGAATTGTGAATCAGGAGGTGAGATGAACATTACATACTAGTACCCTATAAGCTGTACCTATAATGTATAGCCTTTCTACGCATTCATGATCAAGAAAGACAAGGGTCAATCAAAGACATTCTATCACCTTCTTAGGTCAATCGACTGTTATTTGTTCTTGAGAAAGAAGCAGTTTGCTTATGCCACAGCTATCCCAATAGTCTGCTTCTCCAGACTGTATTCAACAGCCACACATATTCGAACCTGCAAAGACAACACTGAAGATGAGTACCATTTTCAATGAAAAATTTATGACCTCGTGTAACAACAAAACAACATTTACGTGGAACAAAGAGAGAAATATTCAACATCAACGCTATTTCATCATGTTCAACTAGGCCAATATATTTATAATCCTCTAGACCACATATAGTCAGATTTAGGCCATTTGGGCAGAAATATGCAATAAATATAACATCAAGGATGAAATGCTATACAAAAGAGAAGCCGTGTCATAACAATCTGATATTCCATTGTTTCATGTATTGAAGAATGATGTTGGATAAGTAGTTTGAATAGTTTATAGTTTTGTTAATAATCAGTGTTATTTGTCATACATTGTACCTGTTGCAATTGTGTGCAATAACCTTTGACTTGATTTGAAATATTTCGAACCTTATGCCGTAAGCTGATGTTAACTTATGCCGTAAGCTGATGTTAACTTCTGCCATTTCACCCTGATACTGGACATGTATGCACCTGATAAATCTAAAACTTCTGCACGGTTCTGTTCTTGCTATAAGGATACATCAATCTTGGCTGTTGGCGAGACACCGGTAACAGAGCCATCCCAACCCTGGAGGGGTCCGACTCACGTCTGGACGGGTCGTACCAAAACCGCCAGAACGCCATCGAGAAGTGCTACCAGGCCGCCAAGGAACGAGGGTTCACCTACTTCGCGGTGCAGAACGGAGGTTGGTGCGCCTCTTCCGCCATCGCGGGAGAAACCTACCAGAAGTTCGGCCGCTCTACAACCTGTGGGGCCGACGGCGAAGGAGGGCCTTGGGGCAATCAGGTGTACAAAATCACAGGTGAGGGCCACTGCGAACCGCGCCTGTTGTTACCTACATGAAAATTAGGAGGTATTGTTTTTGGTATATGTCTGTGTGTGTCCGCGTGTGTGTCTGTGTTTCCTCATGACCCTTAGGTCAGGTTGTAATGGATATGCCCGGCGATATGATATGGTTAGATTCAGTCTGTCCCAGAGAAAGAAAGTCATTAATCACGTCTACATCTGGTAGCGTTTGCTTGATTTTACAGGTGATTTTAGTTACATGGCCTGCTTGACAGCTATTGTTGTTTCCCTTTCACGATAGAGACTTCTAGATACCATGGTGAATGAGAAGAGCACACAAGATCGAAACATTTCATGGAGGTCTGAGATATCTGAATTCTGATTAGATCTTACAGGCACCACAATTAATTCCTCTAGATCTATAATGATGGCCATACATAAAATATCATTTGACCCTCTCGAAATTTTGTTTCGTACCTCTCTGCAGACGCCCTGCCAAAGATCGTGAGCCTTGGCTGTTGGAAGGACACTGGAAACAGGGCCATCCCAACCATCGAGGGTTCGGACGCGCGTCTGGACGGTAGCTATGGGGCTCGTCGGGACGCGATTAACAAGTGCTACCAGGCCGCCAAGTCTCGAGGGTACACCTACTTCGCCCTGCAAAACGGAGGTTGGTGCGCCACTTCAGCCACGGCGGGAAAAACCTACCAGAAGTACGGACCGTCCACAACCTGCCGCACGGACGGCGAAGGCGGACCCTGGGGAAACCAAGTCTACCAAATCCCAGGTGCGTCTACCAAGTCTAGCCTCCACCAGGCCTTTCTACGGGAATACGGATCGTAGGATTCGGCAAAAAAGAGTGTAAAATTGGACAAGGGAGTCCGACCGCGGGGAGGTAGTTTCTTTCCCTCCGAACTGCGCGGCCAATCAAACCTACGATGCCACCAAACTCCCCTGGCAATCATTCTCCTATACATTATATAGTCAGTTTAGTTAGTCTGGTAGAGACTGTACCAAATCCCATGTAGTGGTGAAGGGAATCCGTCCTCGGTTGAAGTGGTTGAATTTGCTGATGCTTTCTCTTGTTTTCCCTCATCACCATTTACTATTATAATACCAAAAGACAGAGGATAGTAACTCGCAGGACCTGGTGTATTTCATTTTCCAATACACTGGGTTACATAAATGAGTATTGTCCTGTCATGTATTTGTCCCCTGTGTTGGTGGCGGCATTAATAGAAGTTGAAAAAACTTGAGTGTGTCATCACCACGTCTGGTGATTACATGTTGGAATAAAAAAAGTTATTAACTTCATCAATATTGAGACTATGTGCCACCAAGGAATCTTAATACTGATACAAGATAGCGTAACTCAAGAAATGTTGCTTCCACATGTAATCTTTTTTCTTTTTGTAAACCTCTACCAGGTGGTGCGGCATGCGAGGCGCCGCTGGACCTGTTCTTAGTGCTGGACGGATCCGGTAGCGTAGGAGCTGCAAACTTCGACAAGGTGAAGCAGTTTGCACGCGACATGGTCAACAGGTTCGACATCGGCCCGACTGCCACCAGGGTTGGAGTACTACAGTACTCTGACAGGAACAGGTGAGTGCCTGGTCTTTTGTCTGTTATGAACAAAGATGTGCAGAGCATTGATGTATCTTGTGGTAGTAGTAGTAAATGGTTTATTGGTAAAAACACGATACAAATCGGCCTTGCAGTATGTACACTGAATTGTGCCGAATTTTACATTCCACATACTCAGTAAAACTAACACTGTAGGCTAATATAATACATATACAAGTATATACAAGTAACATTCAATAATTGACGACATGGTTTTCCATACTATATCTTGTATGTATATACTATCTTATATGTAATCATGTCATTTATGAGCTTTTATCTTACATGTAATCGTGTCCTTTATTAGCGTGTTGTTGAATGGCGTTGGGAGTGCCACTTTTAGGTGTATTACAAGAGGTTAAGTTTTCCTTGCCATTAGTATGTTAATCTAATGATGCTATGATACGTAAATACAACCTTGGTTACATAGAGATTAAATGCATTGAATCTTTCAACGCCCTTCAACAACACCCTAATAAAGGACATGATTACATGTAAGATAAAAGCTCATAAATAACATGATTACATATAAGGTACTCAGTAGATACAAACAATCCCTTTATAAGCACTGGTAAAGTACGTCTACAAGTACAAATGTATTTGAATATAGTATCACTGACCTCCAAAAAGCGATCTTGAATTTTTCCAGAAGTTTTATGCAAGTTGAAGTCTTATGAATGTCTTATGTTATGGGTTTTGTCATTACATATATGTACATGTACAATCTATGTTTTTATGAATCCAGGAAGATTAGAAGAGATTTTCTAATCTAATCTAATGTAGTGGATTTCTAATAAAACATCAACATCAAACATCAATTGCAGTGAAAGCTGATATAACATTGCCCTGATAGATGTAACATGTATTTGGTAGATTGCAAAAAAAAAAATACAAAAGTAAAACTAAAATGCGCCCAAAAATTACTCAAGCAACTGGATATGATTTTGGAAACGGCGTCACCGACGAAAGGCAGTGGATACTACCTGAAACGTCTGGCTGTTTCCAAAACCATATCCAGTTGCTTGAGTAAGTGTTTTTTTGCGTATCTTATTAACATCACCGACGTAAAACTAAAATGTATCAATATCCTAAAAAAATACCATTTAATGTGTCTTATTAAACTAGCAGTAACGTTTTCTGTACTATTTTTCTCAGCCTGGTGTTTAACTTGGGAGCTAAATCAGACAAGCCGTCTACCATCAGCGCCATTAATGCCATCACGTACCAGAAAGGCGGCACGAAGACAGGGGCTGCGATGCAGTTCGTCCGTACGAACGCCGCATGGAGGCAAGGAGGAAACGTCCCGAAAGTAAGTACCGAAATATGTCATTTGTTCTATTTATTCATCTATGAAGATTTATCACATTTAATTTGTAGAAGGGTTGACATAACAGGTGACTATCACCTCTTCAAAGATGTCAAACCTGAGACCAGACTGTAAGGTTTGAACCACTCACACCGGGAAGCACCCTTGCTCTTTTCGGTGTGGTAGGATTTTTCATGTGCTCAGATCAAGGTGTGGGTCTCCTTAAACACGGGACCTCTGGCTTTACGCCCCCAACCGAAGATAGGTAGTCATTTACATTTTTTTGGCGTAAAAGACATGGGTGTATCTGCTTACTCCCACAGGTGATCATCGTGTTGACAGACGGGAAGTCGGGTGATTCTGTGTCGGGACCAGCTCAGAGTCTTGCCGCGAGCGGAATTACCGTGTACGGCATCGGAGTGGGCAACTTCGATCACGGGCAACTCCTACAGATCGCCAACAACGACCAGAACAATGTGATCGAGTTGAGCGACTTCAACGCCCTGGCCACGAAGATTAGCGAGATTGCCAAAGTCGTTTGCGAAAAGGTGTCTGACGGTATGTTCTAATTTGATACCATATTGCAGGGTTAGCCTTTACACTGTACATCTAAATCAAATTTGAGCGAGAAATGGATTTTAGGCATGCTGAAGCCATACCAAAATCTTTTTACGTACCAAAAGTCCACCCTTTTCATTATCAAATCCCAGAGTCTATTGTAGTATACAGTAGAGTGGGTCTATTTCCAAGTTAACCGACATCCAGAATACTGTATAGTCGTCCCTCAGTAAGACATATTGAGCTGCACGCATATATACTTCCCGCTCAGAACTTTTTTTCAGCAGGCCACCAAATCCTAGAGTCTAGTTACAGTCAACGTATCTCACTGGAAGTGACTTGAAGAAACTTGAAGTTTGTGTTATATATTGAATAAAAAAAACAGTTAAAGGGATTTGGGCAATTAAAGAGTTGCCTAATACTTTTATTTCAACATGTAAAGAAGATGCATATGAAATTGTCACTCAAGCAAGGTTTTGAAAACTGTCATATGCATGCGTTCCATGTACTTGAAACGTGCTACTTGAAACGTCTGACAGTTTTTAAATACCTATCGCCAGTTGCTTGCGTCACAAATTTGTTGTGTAGCAATTAAAATAATGGGAGGTTGAGTAACAATTGTGTGTCCAGTCACTGACGAAAAGCATTGGATGCTACATGAAACGTTTTCAACACATTATTATGTAGCTTGAGTACTAGTAACAATTTCTTGTGGTGCTTATAGCATTAACCAATGACCAGAAATGCATTTTTCTTTTCTTATCAGTTTGCCCCAGTGGTTACAAGGAATTCAACGGGATCTGCTACAAGGCGTTCAACACGGTAAAGACCTTCCTTCAGGCGTCCAAGGCTTGTTACGACGACGGCGGCACACTCGCCATGCCCAAGGATGCTGCCACCAACGCCTTCCTCAAGACCCTGAAGGACAAGGTAGACCCGGCCGGCTTCTTCTGGTTCGGCCTCGTGGATCAGCACACGGAGAACGAATGGCAGTGGGTAGACGGAGGGAACCTCGTCAGGGGCCAAAGCGACTGGAAACCGGGAGAGCCGAACAACGCAGGCGACGAGGACTTTGCCGAGTACTTCCCTAACAAATGGAACGACGTGGGCGGCAACGCAAGGAACAGGAAATTCATCTGCCAAGTGATTCCAACAGGTCAGTCAGCCAGACAGGCACCCTTTCGATTCAAATGACTAGGAATTTGGATCTAGAGCAGGCTGAAAATGGCATAACGTTTCCATCAGTGCATTTAAAATGCGGTGTTTTCGGTAACATGGCTACTCCTCTCCCACTACCCTTCTCTCATTTAAGGCATCCAATGCAATTTCAGGGCTGCAAAACTGAATTTTCAAGCTCAATGTTCCTGTCATTGGTCGTTGAAAATTTAATCTCTGTGTACCCGTTGTGTTGAAATAAAGCTCAAAATTTAACTATGATAATTACCAACGCAGATGAACTTTCATGAGAATATTTTCTTGTTTTGCCGCCCTGAAATTGTATTGCCCAGATTCCCCACAAGGCTACGTGTACCATCAACTGAGCCACATGAGCTACAAAGTTTACAACGTCAAGAAAGACTACAAGGGAGCGGTTGAGGCCTGTCGTGCAGATGGCGGTTCACTTGCCGAACCTAGAGATGCCGCCGCCAACACGTTCCTCATCTACCTCAAGAACGCCGTGGACAACCGAGCATGGTTCCGCTTCGGACTGACGGACGAACACCAGGAAGGAGGCTGGATGTGGGGAAGCGGTGTCGCCCTATCAACTTTCCGCACGTGGGGTCCGGGAGAACCGAATAACCGGAGAAACGAGGACTGTGCCGAGTACTTCCCTGGAAGTCATCCGAAAAACAAGAGGAACACGTGGAACGATGGGCCATGTACAGCTCGTACCAGGACGTTTATCTGCCAGGTCGTTCCGAAAGGTACGTTTCGTAAGAGTCGTTTGTTCTTGTTTGTAGATTACAAATCAGCATGTCCTTCAGTCAATACATACCTCTGAATAGGTTTCCTGCATTTGCTGGAGCATTCCTATTATCTGCATGATCAGTTAGGCCGTGTTGATTTGATTAGATGGATGGATGACATCCTCTGGGAACCCTAAAACTGATGCGAGCGTGCGAATGAAAAAAATGGCAAAAGAAGTTGCCTTCAGTATGACCTGTACGTCAATCTGGTCAAGAAGGTTGAACAAATTACTCAACTATTCATTTTCATTTCTTCACATTTTCTTCTTTTCCTTTGGAATTGATGTTGGCATTCTATGGCATTGGTATCGTTTTCCAATATTTTTTTTTTGCAATTTACGTCATATATTTGGTCATTTTGCAGCTGTTTTGTACGACTTACAGTAAGGTCGAAAGCTTTTTTTAACAGACGAAAATTCATACGTGCGGATGTCATCCATATAATCAACTCAATACGACCTTACCTTCATCATTTTCTGTAGGCTGTCCTAGAGGCTACAAGCAGAGGGGTGCAATCTGCTACAAGGCCTTCGACAAGAAGAAGAATTACGACGAGGCTGAGATGGCTTGCCGGGCTGAAGGAGGGTCCCTGGCGATGCCCCGCGACCAGGCTACCAACGACTTCCTGATCAAGCTGAAGAACGACAAGGACGGCAGCTCGTGGTTCTGGCTCGGGGCGGATGACAAGAATGACGAGGGCACATGGCTGGGCCGGGACGGCCAACAGTTCGGGAGCTTCCGCGCCTGGTTCCCGGGAGAACCGAACCAGGCTGGCGGGAACGAAGACTGCTTGATGCTGTTCGAAAGCCCCAGGAACAAGTGGAACGATCAAGGCTGTGCGACAAAACAGAAGTTCATCTGCCAGATCCAACTGCCAAGTAAGTTTACATTCAGATGATGCTGATATCCTCTGACCAGGCTTCGGGAAGCGGCTGGAAAGAGTAGAATTTGGCCAAATAGAGAGATGTCAAGGAGGTTGGTCCGCTAGAGTGCACAGTTTGCCGCACCCGAATTGTACTTTCCAGCGGACCAACTTTCCTGGCATGTTATCTCTTTATTTGGCCAAATTCTACTCTTTCCAGCCGCTTTCGGAAGCCTGGTGGTGTGGTAGAGGCCTGAAAGATGCTGACAGGATATAACTTATAACATTTTGGAACAGAAACCACGAGTCACAAGCAGAGGAAGAAGTGTTAGATGATACTAATGTTTTTTCAAAGACCATGTAACAGTATTTGGTATCTATTCTGTTATTATTTACTAATTTTACTCGCATCTATTTTTTTCGAGGATAGGGCAAAAATATACACATTACTTATCGAGGCCTCCTATATCCACACATACAGATGAAAGTAAAAAAAAAAACATGGTAGAATTAACAAAAACAAAACAATGAAATACAAAATGCGCTAGTGTACAAATCATAACAAAATCGGGCAAAACGACCAGTCTGCAAAATAAAGTTGAAAACCACATCAACGATTTTACAATTGTTCACAAATGACAAAAGAAGGTTTGAGAATATGTGAGCATCGGTTGTTGTCAATGGCGTTGTTTATGTCAACAGAAGGTATATTGTTATTATGACTACAAAACACCACTCTTTAGAATGTAGTTTTGTTAATCGAATCTTTTTTGTTTCGTGATCAGTTGTTGGTTCCTGCGGTGGCAACATTCAAGGGGAGTTTGGAACCATTGTCTCACCGGGCTACCCAGATACATACGCAGATAATCAGAAATGCACGTATGTAAAATGTTGATTTTTACTAACATGCCATGTGCAGCATAATGATTCTTACTAACATGCCACAGCAACTTGTTACACAGACTGCTTGACACCCCTCTGTCCATTTGAGGTTTTATTCATATCTGCTAAGGGCATGTTGATGTGATTATTCTTATCACATCGTCTGGGAACCCCAAAATTCTTTGCCTTCATCATGAAATCTACGTGGTAATGAAGGTTGAATAAATGACTTAACACACAGAGTATGGGATAGAGAATAATAGACTCTTCATTTTCATTTCTTCACATTTTCTTCTTTGCCTTAATTTTGGCATTCTACGATATTAGTATCGTTTTTTAATTTTTTTTTTGCAGTTTACTGCATATATTTGCTCATTTTTTCAACTGCTTTGCACGATTTACAGTATGATCGAATCCTTGTATTTTCTTGGAAATACACAATAATTCATGCTCGCGTGGATGTCATCCTTGTAATCAAATCTACATGGCCTAAGCCCTAAAACGGCTTACAACGAGGTAACTTGAATGTATGCCATAGAGGAGTTTTCTTTTAATTTTACACAACCAATTTTCTCACCTAGAGTGCTGACGTTTCGGTGTCTATCAGGCACCTTCCTCAGAACTTCTGACTGGAGTTCTGCTTCTGAGTTCAGAAGCTCTGAGGAAGGTGTCTGATAGACACCGAAACGTCAGCACTCTAGGTAAGAAAATTGGTAGGGCTAACAAGTGTAAAAGAAAACTCCTGTATCCTATACTTGACCGACCCGATGAAACTATTTTCGGTTGAATGTATGCCATTTTGCAGCTGGAACATCATGGCTCGACCAGGGAAGGTCTTGACTCTGATCTTCGAGGATTTCGACCTCCAGGGCACCTCCGACACGGTGACTGTTGAAGACCCCTGCAGCGACAGGGAGCTGGGGAAGTTCTCGGGGTCGACTCTGCCTGCACCCGTCCGCAGCGCGGACAAACAGCTGAGGATCGTCTTCAGAACCGACCACTCTGTCAGCGAACGTGGCTTCAGGGTCAAATTCTTCGGTAAGTCAGATTTAAGTTAGTTTGAGCCCTCCGCATGGATTCACACAATCACTGGCATGGTCGCTTAAGCTTATGGCAGCTACGCTAATTTCCGTCTCGTAAACGGTCGTCGCTTTATGAAACGGTAGATGCCATATAACGGCAAGCACGGTCCATCTCATATCCATACCGTGATGTTTCGCATGTTTCGTGGGTTATTGAGGGTATAGGTTTAGCTACTCTTTTTTTGACTCGGGTTCGAATCCGAGCCTGTGCTTTTCTTTTATACTAATACATTTACTATTTTTTTATGGTTCTCCCTTATATTTGCAATTGTAATGTTGCTTCTTATAGTATACATTACGTTTGATACGATTTTGAAACATCGACCAGTCAGCATGCAATATGGCATCGAAAGGCGACGACCGTTTACGAGACGGAAATTTGCGATGGCGCCCATCTCGATCTGGTTCTCCTTTGGGTCACACAGTAGTGCAATCACTTTGGCAGGAAGCTAGTCGATTGGTAGTGGTGTGTGTTTAACTCCCGTACTCTTCTCAAACGCTGAGTGCTAAGCACAGGTAGCAGTATATGTACCACGTCTTTGGTATCACTCGGCCGGGGACAGGTACATTACAGGTCCGGTTCGCAATACTCCATTCAGCAGCAAAATACATTAACTGTTATACGTCGATGAACCAACGTCTGGCGTACTCTTCAATCAGAGGTTTAGGCTTCGCTTTAAGCTTTGACGTGTTCCTGGCTCTGGATTCATCTGGCTTTCCTTGCCCGGGTGGCTTCCTAGCTGTTTTTTCTTTGTGCCGACCACCCAATTTGTATATGTCTGTTCTTAACAGCCAGCGACGCTTCCGGGAAACGAGAGATTGAGGAGCCGATGTCTGTCCAGCAGCCCGATGAGATCATGGAGGGGCGTGGCCAGGAGGAAGGAGGCCAGGAGGAGCGTGGCCTGGAGGAAGCTGCCGATGAAGAGGTGCTGATGGAGACCTTGAAGATGCTGGAGGACGACCTGCGCAATGCTGGCAACGAGCTAAGGGTACGGCGTACTGATCTGTACCTAGCCTGGGACCATTCATTTTTTAATGGGGCTCCTTGCAACTCGTTACCCCGAAAAAACGGGCTAACCAGTGCAAGGAGTTGCGTTACAAAACGGATGGCACACAGGCTAATGTTCACCTATCTCCAATGAAAATATCTATCTGTATCAGTGTTCTAGTTCTAGTCAGCCTGAAATTTTCCCTGTCATCTCGTAGAGGGACTATCCTATGAGGGGCCAGGCATGCTACGCCTGGAAAAATCTGAAATTTGCCCTCTTGAAAATCCATTTCATGCAATTTGGGGGTACAATTTGTTGCTAGACTAAGCTTAGTTTAGTGAGATCTCTTTCCAAATCTTTACACGCCGATTTTTTGTCCGTCAAAGATGACAGATTGGGCAAAATTTATGTCAGTCATGGTCGTCAAATTCCATCAAATGACAGAACAGATGGATGCTGGCTAGTTTGAAATCTGTACATCAAATTTAGTTTTGAACTGCTAGATGGGAAAGATCGATCTACTGTACTATATTCAAGCGAGAAATGTATATATGATTGTTTTCTCCTCTCACAAGCTTGGAGGTGTATTGTGGTTCATTGCACCTGTAGGTGCACAGCTAACTAATATTAGGCAGAGTACAAACAAAACTCAAACAACAATTTTTCTCCTTCAGACTCTCTGACAGATTCTGAAACTGTCAAGTTACTGAGTGTGTGCATATATCTTCACTAAAATGTTTATAAGTCCGATGTGATTTGAAGTAATTTAATTTAATTCATAGCATTTATTTTTTTTTATCTTTTTGTAGGAGCTCCATGAAGAATGACAACTGGCGACAGATGACGTTGAAATGATTGACCAAAAACCAACCAAGACCGATCATCAGACTACAGGATAACTGCTTAGCAAGAAGCTTCGCCGCAGATAGGACCAAGGCAACATAAGAAATGATAAAGAATAGATTACAAATCACGAAAATCAAGAATTGTTATCCCGGCTATTTCCTTGTACCGTAGCTGTAAACATCACTTTAATCCAGCAGTAATACAAAATGACAATCATCTCTTTTGCTTCTAGTTTCCATACGTAGTACACAGTCTTTCAACTTTTGACGGGTTTCCGGGTTATTGTGCAATGAAAAAACTTTTTTGTAGGATTCCTTGTTTATTTCTTACTTCTTCTTCTCTACTGCCAAGCCCAACAACTTCTCACATGACTGTTTTTATCCATCCCCAGAACATTGTCTGTACTATACTGTGTGAAAAAAATGTCTGACATACTCAACTATCTAACGATAAAGTTGACAATAACATTCTAAAGGTAAACATTGCCATCGAAGACCACATTTTGTATGCACAGGCTACACCGATTTGATACGTCGCTCCAGAAAATATTTAACCCAGCAAACCCTGTAGTTAAGAAGGGGTCCTGACTCTAAAACTAACATCAGTATTGCTTCATTGAAAAATATCCACAAACTAAGGTAAACTGGTTGTAATCCACCTGCTGGTTCTCTATATCTTTTTCTAATATCCAACTAAATTGCAAGTTTCATGATTCTTAATAGTTTGGCCACATCAATTTAATCAATTGGTTCTCGGATTCGCCCCCTTCATATTTTTCTGATTTGCAAAACAAAAATATATAAATCACCTCCAAAACAAATGTTTTTATTTTGACCTCACTAGTTGAGCAAAGTCCTTGTCTTCCTAGCTGTTACAGTTTTTTCCATCTAACAATGCATCATTTGGTTTGCATGATTAAAAGTTCAAAATTCATTGTTGTCAAGTTGGACATTTTAGGCTATCATAGGATGCCTAAGATTTTTTAATTTTTTTGTCGTGTTGTTTCATATTTTCTCTAAAAAAATTCCAAGAACCAACAAATCAAATTGCTGTGGCCTTATATATGCAGAAATGTTTAAGTAACATATAATGATATACAGACACTAGCACCAACAAGTCTACATAATTTTCAGATGAACTGTTACAAGAAAGCAAACAAAGAAACACTGTACTTCACTGACAATCAAAAACACTGTCTGAACCCAATTTGGGAGGAAGTATCATATAACTATATGATTAATGAAGGAATACCAACTATTGTTACATATTCAAGATTGCTATTAAAGCTGCCATTGCAATTAAAAAGTAGAAAAGAGAATTTTGTCCTGTCAAACGTACTTGAGTCTTTGCTGCGAAGCTAGATGTACTGTTAGGCTTCTTTGAACATAACTTTTATAAGATAGTAATTCTTTGATTGGGGTGGTAAATGCTTGTGAGTGGAAGAAGATGTATACATAGGGTATAGAATTTTCTTTATACACAACCAGTAAGGTTCTCACCTGCTTACGTTTCGATGTCTATCAGACACCTTCCTCAGAGCTTGGGGAAGATGTATACATGTTTGTTACATGAGTATGGATGTCGAGAATACATGCTGTATGCTACAGTGGAAGAAATGATAGTTAAACTGTCTTTACAAGATTCACAGATATGCTCTTACTCAACATCCACTCACCAATTGTCCTTAGGTTAATATAGCTATACTACCGGTATGCCAGTTGCAAGCAAAACGACACCTTTAACATTTTTCTACAATGAGAATAATGGGGAGAGGACACAAGAAAGATGACAGTGATAGTGTACAATAGATATGTTCTAGGATAATTTGGAATTCACACACACACACACACACACACACACACACACACACACACACACACACACACACACACACACACACACACACATACATACATACACATACATACATACACAATCACACAAACACACACTCTACCTGCTATAGATACAGGGGGATATGCATAACACCTACTCTTCTAGAAACTTGTCATATTTAGGAGGATTTTCCATTCTGTTCATCACACACTTTCCGACTTTTTTGTTTACATTAATTCTTAGTTATTTCAGCTTCGATGATCCAAAGATAAAGATGATAAGACACGACTGTGTTTTTAATGGAAAGTATAATAAACACCTTTTGTGTGTGATGACATCTCTAGATCTGCACATGTCACACTCTAGCATGAATGATTTGACAGTTCTGAAGGCCATGTTTTCGACAGGTTCTCTCGTGAAAGTCAAACAAATATTTCAATCCTGCTTCGGTTGTTGAGATAGTCGCCACCGCATCTACATCACTGCATTATTTATGAGAAAGCATTGTGTGCCTGACAATTGCATGCGTATTTCTTCGAAGCCAATATGCATCATTGGAGTAGTCACCCACTTACACTATATGCATGCCAACACTGATGTCAGAAACTGCCCCCTACATGCAGAAGCTGGTGTGTTACGCCGAAAGGCGGTTATACCGGCTATACAGATACAGAAGCTGGTGTGTTACGCCAAAAGCGGTTATACCGGCTATACAGATACAGAAGCTGGTGTATTACGCCGAAAGGCGGTTATACCGGCTATACAGATATAGATATTCAGTACTGTTTTGTTGCCAACAAATTTTTCATGTAGACGGCTCTATGCCTCTATTCAAAGCTATTACCTTTTCAAGGCTGTTTGTTGTAAGTAAGTAACTACAGCAACAATCATGGCTTTATACGATCCCGGGTTAACAGCATTCTTACTCATCCTAAAACATGCTCTGGTTCAATTGATCAAATCATTATTTGAACTACTACGAAGTATGATACGCATGATTCTAAAAACGTGGTCCACTACAAAACATAGTGATGTTGAATAGCAGACGTGGACTGCATGTGGTGCAAAGTTGTATCAAACGAAATGGCAGGAGAAGAAGGAATAGAAAAACACTTAGAATATTCTATCCATGCCTAAGTTTTTTTACATATGTCATTACAATATATTCATTCATAGCTTCTCGAAATATGATAGCATTCTAAGAATAGAATGGCTGAAAACACACACACACACACACACACACACACACACACACACACACACACACACACATACACACACACACACACACACACACACACACACACACGAATGCATTTACACAGGTCGGTGAAAAGATGTCAAGAGGATGACGTCAACTGACATCAGCGTTGCCGTGGCTGCATCAAGTCAACTGGCTTGAACACAACACGTCTATTGTGTAGTGCTCGCAAACACGCCTTGCCATGAATAATTTAGTGGCCAGCCGCAATGTCGCTGTGATACCAGGGCCGTCTAAAGTGCACTGTACTCTAGGTCCGTTTCTGGCCCTTTCATGCTTGGCTTGTCAATTACGTTTTTTTCTGATTACATACCAGCATCTCGCTTAATACTGGGTCTATATAAATGATATTTTACAACCGAGCCAACGCATGTGTGCTTGTAAATGTGGTTTTGTTTTAGCATGCGTGTACTATAAAGATAAGATATAAACATGTAGTTTTATGACCTTCGCTTCGCCCACTGGGGCAAAAATGTAAAATGGGGGCATTCATCTCACACAAGGACTCTGTAAGAAAGGCTTATACACTCGATTACGTCCAACAGAGCGATGCTGTGTGTCTTTTTTTGTAGTCCTCTAATTTACCATGACGGGGATGGGTGCGGTTTTCTTATGTTGCGAAGAACCTGTAGCTCTGTTCACAGTCACTAAGGACGAACCTCTCTGAAGTGGTCGCGGATTTTGTTGACTACACATTCAACTAAAATTTGGCGAACATCATGAAGACGAGAAAGAAAATGCAGAGTAGCCTCATCAACCAAGTCGTCTTCGTGTTGATTTTGCTTCAACTGGTGACCCAAGCAGCAGGTAGGACGATTTTGTTTTATTTTTTTAAAAACAACAAAGGACTGTTTTATTTGTCTTGCCCCCTATTCAACACTTTAACAGTCAGTTTTCTAACGAGATTTCCCGGCCGTAAACAAGAGTCATTTATCCTCCATTATCACATCTTTTCCCAGCGACATTGCAACACCGATCAGAGATTATGTCCGACATGCAAGGAGGATATTGAAGACGATTTCCACTTTATGATGTCATTCTCAACATATGAAGAAAACAGGCAAAAGTTGATGCACTCCATAGCTTCCAAAATTAATGTTACATTACCCCATTCAAAACCAAATATCTTCAATACGTTGGAAAATTCATATCTGAATAGCTACAAAAGCGACACCATATTGTAAATAACTGACACACGAGTATCTCTCCTTAAGAAAACACAATAGATTAGCTTTAGTATCATTATGGACTAGCTCTATTAGATTTATATTCTAGTATTACTTCATGTATCTACCCATGTTGTTTCTTCTTTGCCATACATTGTACCAGTTACTCATTCATGTCTTGTGCGTGTTTGCTACTGTTTGCTGGTTTCTCTGGCCTTGGTGCTGAATACATGATTTCTGCAAACGATCATTTAGCATGTTGCAACCGGTGGTATTGAAAAGTAAATTCAAAGAAACATAAAAAGGGTGCTTTGTTACCTACAATAATACCGGGTCGTTAAGTCTATTACAGCTGTGTGACGCTAAGGTAGCCATAAATATGCCATGTTTACTCCTGTAAATAATACTAGTACATTGTACATTAGTACAATACTAGTTTATTGGCCAAACATCACCCGTGCAATCGCAGCCGTATAGTGCTGAATCGATGCAGGGTTTACAATCAGGTGATACGAATGGTAATAATACACATAATAATACACATAATACACATGATACATATTTGTTCCACATTTTTGTGGAACTGCCGCAAGGGTCTGTGCGGCTGCCATTCGGCGCCACAAAGTGACCTCAATACGGCTTTCCCCAACCGAAGTTAGGTACCCATTCACACCTGGGTGGAGTGAGAAAAGTCGTGTAAAGTGCCTTTCCCAAGGGTACAACGTCGGGCGCATGTCCAGACATGTCCCGGGTACGACTCGGGATCGAACCAGGTTCTCCCGGTTCACAGCCGAATGATGTACCACTACGCCACCCTACGCCACCCGACTAATAAACGCTTGTCTCTTTATTTCAGGAAGTTGTGATCTATCAACTTTTCAGCACTTCCCCCAGAAGGACTGTGGGGGGCCTGCAGAAGACATAGCTTGCTATAGTGATACTACCCTACAGTTCTGTGTATCAGCTTGCTGTGCCGAACCGACATGCCTGTCGTTTCAGTTCAACACACTGAACCGGTGCTGTTTGAAAAACATACTCTGTCCTTCTAAGCCATATGCATCACGTGGCAACATGTATGATCGGCTGGTTGGACCAGGTTGGTGATTTTCGTACACCGTTCTATCAAAAGATATGATTGCATAGTAAAAGGTTGAACTTTATTCCAACACACGATTGTACAGGGATCAAATTTTCAGCGACCACTGTCGCCTTCATGAGGATAATTAATGACCAATCACTTCACAACGTGATCTCGCGATATGATTGCATGTCTGTTCAAATATACTGCCTTGAAAACATAACAAGAGTTCCCCGATCGCATACGTCCGTCATTACGAACCCTAACAGACAGACAAATGGACAACATTGAAAACATACCTCCACTATGGAGGTACTTACGCAAGATAGATTCAATATGAGTGCGCAAAACTGATACTTTGTCTGTGACGGAAGTTGGAGTAAGTGTTGTTATGCTGAGAAACAAATTCCTGTGGACAGAACACTCAAAATACCACTAACTGTAACAACAGATGTGGCCGGTTACTCCTGGGGACAGGACACTCAAGACTCACCAAAAGCAACAAGATACAAATCTTGCAACCTTTTCACAGATTTGAGTTGTATAAAAAAACGTGCTGAAATATGCTCCTCCTTTCTACAAACTGTATCAGTTGATCATCTTCTTCATCCAAGCAACATCAGTTATACTTATCTTAACGTCCACATGCCTCATGAAATTCCGGACATTTACGTAGACGTTTCTGTTATTTATCATGCATCATGCGAATTGGATCGAAATTTGCATAGCTTTTATCAGTTAAACATGTCGCAAAGTATTGTAACTCAAACACATCCAAATGTAACAGACGGTAAGCACTCCCTCCTTTTTTGGGTTGGGATGAAAAAAGGGAAAGAAGGAGAAACTGAAGGTAAATAAACCTAAAAACAGTGTATTTTATCCATGCCTATGGTATAAAGAGAAGTGTAAAGATCTATACCGTTTATAGAAATGATATATCTATTATATACATATATGATATATAGGATATATATATATATATATATATATATACATGTATATACAGATATAAACATCGCAGAAGGGAAGGCAGCGTACCAGTCCTCCACTGAGTGGGGTATGATTGCCGACCACGCGGTAGATGGGAACACCGATGGTGACTACTTCCAAAATTCTTGCACACACACCTCACAGTGGGTACCTAATCCCAGTTGGTGGGTGGATCTTGGGCAATCGTATGGCATTGGCAGGTACGAATAGAACAGACTTACGATAAGTTTTATTTACTGTCCAGTACTAACCTGTGCACCAACACTGCAAAATACAATGTCTTCTTCTAACATGGGTGCCACCCTATTTGTATACCGGGGCTCCCGTTCTCACTCCCTAATCACTGTATTGCAATTAGTATTATACTTGATTGTAAAAAAGCAATTAGCATTCGGGTATGATTTTGCAAATAAAGTTTCTACACATCATTATGTTTTAGGGAGCGAGTATGAGAGAACCGGTGTACAAATAAAGGCGCGGTTACATTTCCCAACCCGGGGCCCGGCCGGGCAGTCGTATGGAACGAAAATTATTATATAAGACAGCAAAACATTAAAAAAAAAGTTTTAGAAAATTATCACTATTTGTGTATACTCTTAATACAAATTCTTTATTTTCCGTTCACGCAAACAACCCGGCCGGGCCCCGGCTTGAAAATGTGACCGTGCCCTAAGATGGCACCCATACTAGTCTTCATCAAGAATAACAATCATGTTGGCAAATGTAAATACTCTACAGCGTAACAAAGAAGAAAGAAAAAAGAAAGAAAAAAATGTGTCCATGCCACCCTTCAGTAGACGATAACACATTAAAACCGTTGTTATTGATGTACAGTGTGGTCATCTTTAATCGCTTCGACTGTTGTCAAAGTCGACTCAACCCCTTCAACATCCACATCGGGGATTCCAGCCAGATCACCTTGAACCCCAAGTGTGGAGGGGACCATTACATCGACTTGAGCCAGCCGTCCATTTCCGTCTCATGTCAGGGGATGTCGGGGCGGTACGTCGGCGTCGTTCTCCCCGGCTCCTCACGAACCATGACCCTGTGTGAGGTCCAAGTATTTGAAGGTAGACCTTTGCAACACTCATCTACTATTATCTTCAGTTTTCCCTGAACTGTATCGGATATACTCAGTTTCATGTGATGAATTGGCGATAGGCTTTGATAATTAAGAAAAAATATCCGTCATAAACTAGCCACTATCTATACCTTGGCCTAGATGATAATAAAAAAAATGGTCTTTTCTGTGGTGCCGTTACCAACATGTATTGCATGTTATAAGAAATGCATTTGTTGACACTTAATAGCAAAATATATTCCTGTGCACCCAAAAATTATGATAGGACTGGCCATTTTGCATGTTCTACATGGTATATCTAGTTGTGATGCAAAATATGTGTCTTTATGTTGCTTGTACTTTGGGTTAAATGTCAGATACAGACTTTCAGTTGCCTGTTTTTTTGTCCGTGAACACGTGTAGTGAAGTACTAAAAAGTCACTAGTTGGAATATAAATGCCATGTGTTCATATAGATTCAGTATTCTGAAATAACTAAATTTGGTGGCCTTATGGCAGAAGCCACTTTTATAATGGTTGTAAATAAACAGAATAACAGTCATAAATTACCATGCTGTAGTGTCCGTAGAGATGTGTAGTGTCCGTAGAGATTGTGTTATTAAGCAAAATACAAAAGTGTAATGACATTTACAGGTAGCGCTGTGCAATGTCCGACACTATCCAACCCATCAAACGGCGGCGTAAGCTACAGCTCCAGGAACTACGGAGATGTGGCCACCTACTCATGTAACACAGGATACAGCCTGAATGGCTTCTCTACACGGACCTGCCAGTCTTCAGGGTCCTGGAGTAACACCGCACCAACCTGCCAGGGTAGGAAATTCCGATAGAGTACTGATATTAGCAGATGACGATCGGTACAGCATATTTGAAAATAAAAAGGGCACAATCTCTTTCTCTCTTTCTTCCGTCATATTTTTGGGCATCATAACAACAGGTGAGCAAATTGCAAAAGAGGTTCTTCAACCGGGGTCGTGTAAGGCCATGAGAGATACAGACGATAAACAGCCTTGAAGAGGTAATAGTTTTGAAAAGAGGCTGCACAAGCTTGCCCTTGACATGAATAATTTAGTGCGATTCGGTAAGGTACATACAACGGTTTCTGTAGGGGACAGGTTGTGACATCGATCAGTGTTGTCATGGTGCAGGGGATCTGCTATCCCAACTTTTCATCTTAGCTATTGGCTCGGAAAATGCAAAATTGTGCGGCAGACAATGATTTTACATAAACAGTTCAGTAACATAGCAATTTGGCAACCGTATTACCTACCCATGAATGTGTGTGTGTGTGTGTGTGGGGGGGGTTGGGGTGTTGTGTGTCTGGGCCGTGTTCGTGTGTGTATCAGATGATCCATTTATTAAGTTGAACGAGTTTTGTTTGGAAATAAAAATTAACGCCGACTTCTCATATATTCAGCCGGGTACCAAAAGACACAAATCATAAACGGAAAATTTAAAGAAATGTTCTTGTTCAGTATCCATATTTTCTCTAGGTAAAATTCATTGGTAGACTTCGATAGACTTATATTTTGAAATAACTGACGTACTTAAGAATATATTGGAAACATACAACAAGAATAAATATGTGCAGAACGTTTTATACAGCTAGTGATGACTTCTTACAATATCACATTTCATTATAGCAACATTGAACGTAAATTGTGCATTGCAGATACATACATGTATGTTATTTCGTTACGATAAATGTAGTAGTAACGTAGAGATCGGTACACAGTAATATTAATCCACAATTCTAGATTCACAGTTCGTTATGTTCTTACTCTTACGAGGACCCACATCACTTTCACATTCACAAAACTGTAATGTCTTTGATATAGTTCAAAACCTTATTTACTGTACAGGTAGATTCTCGTAATTGATAGATCACCAACTTGTTTATACTCATTTTTCTTTTACCGACTTTGTAATTATGTACTATGTATTTTGTCATAACGTTTTACTCTCGTGTAATGTTTTTAGTGGAAGGCGCCAAATAAGTAATCTGTGCTTTTTGCGTAATTCTCAAAAAAATATATGTGAATAAATAAAAATATTAATCCACAATATGGTCGCCACCAATCGTCCCATGCCCCATACATGTATGGCAAGTTAATCTCAGGGACCTCTTCCCGTTACAAAAATGTTTTTGTCTCTCAAATCAGCGATCGACATTGTATGAATTTCAAATGCTTTATAAAAAAACACCATGAAAACATTGTGTTACTCTTTTCGCAGCTGGTCAGTGCCCCGTGCCGACAACCCCTCCAAATGGTGCCGTAAGTCTAACATATCTTTTATGTCTAACATTCTTGTTCAAATTGCAGCTGTGCAATGTCCGACACTATCCAACCCATCAAACGGCGGCGTAAGCTACAGCTCCAGGAACTACGGAGATGTGGCCACCTACTCATGTAACACAGGATACAGCCTGAATGGCTTCTCTACACGGACCTGTCAGTCTTCAGGGTCCTGGAGTAACACCGCACCAACCTGCGACGGTAGGAAATTCCGACAGAGTACTGATATAGCAAGCTTCTTAACGGTAGACTTCGGATGCCAATCGCACAGCATATTTTAAAATAAAAAATGGGACAATCTCTTTTTCTCTTTACTTCTTCATGTACATGTATATTTTGTTGGGCATTTTCCAAACGTAGGGAACTATCTAATACTAATAAAGACAGTGTTTATGGTGAGATATGCAACTTTGTACCATAAGTAATAATATCAACATGTGCGGGGCACGGGATATGACAAAAATTGTCTGAAACATTTTTCGTATGCCAACAACCTGGAAAATGCATGCATATTTACGTGCGGGGCACCCAGAGCACATTTGGAACATACTGTAAGTAATGTCTCTTTACAAACTCATCTGTAATATTTTTTACGGATGAGTAGGTGAAGAGAAACTGGCCAATCGATACTAACCAGGGTACATGAAAGGAGAAATTTCTGATGCGTCCGGTCGACGTGGGAACTAATACGCTGATGTCAGAAACAGAAAGTTTGGTTGAAAAAAGAAAGAAAGTAATAGTCAAGGTACCTTAAATGCACAACAGGCGAGCAAATTGCAAAATAGGTTCTTAAACCGGGGTCGTGTAAGGCCATGAGAGTTATCGACGTTACCTAGTAAAAAAACAGCCTTGAAAAGGTAATAGTTTTGAAAAGAGGCTGCACAAATAGTAATAGCCCTTGACATGAATAATTTAGTGCGATTAGATAACGTGCATCAGTGTTGTCATGGTGTAGGGGATCTGCTGTCCCAACTTTTCATTTGTGTGGCGCTGTTAACGTATGTTATAAGCTTGAGTGCAGCGCCACACTGTCCTTGTTATGTTTTGATGTCTTGACGAATTAAAAGCAACTTTTCATCTTGGCCATTGGCTCGGAAAATGCGAAATTGTGAGCCACACAACGATTTCACATGAACAGTTCAGTAACCTTACAATTTGACAACAGTATTACCTACACATGATTGTGTGTGTGAGGGGGGGGGGGAGTTGTGTGTGTGTGTGTGTTCGTGTATCAGATTATCCGTTTATGAACGAGTTTTGTTTGGAAATAAAAATTAACGCCGACTTCTCAAATATTCAGCTGGGTAACAAAAGACACAAATCATAAACGGTAAATTTAAAGAAATGTTCAGTATCCGTATTTTCTCTATGTAAAATTCATTGGTAGAATTCAATAGACTTGTATTTAAAATAACTGACGTATCTAAGAATATTTTGGAAACATAAAGCAAGAGTAAATATGTACAGAACGTTTTATACAGCTAGTGATGATTTCTTAAAATATCACATACATTATAGCAACCTTATAGCAATATTGCAATATTATAGCAATATTATAGCAATATTATAGCAACATTGAACGTAAATTGTGCATTGCAGATACATGTATGTTATTTCGTTACGATAAATGTAGTAATAACGTAGAGATCGGTACAGAGTAATTATATTAATCCACAATTCTAGATCCACAGTTCTTTATGTTCCTTACTGCTAAGAGGATCCACATCACTTTCACATTTACAAAACTGTAATGTCTTTGATGTAGTTCAAAACTTTATTTATTGTACTGGTTGGTTCTCGTAATTGATAGATCACCAACTTGTCTTGTTGATACTCATTTTTCTTTAACCGACTTTGTAATTATGTACTATGTATTTTGTCATAACGTTTTACTCTCGTGTAATGTTTTTAGTGGAAGGCGCCACATAAGTAATCTGTGCTTTTTGCGTAATTCTAAAAAAATATATGTGAATAAATAAAAATATTAATCCACAATATGGTCGCCACCAACCGTCCCATGCCCCATACATATATGGCAAGTTAATCTCAGGGACCTCTTCCCGTTACAAAAATGTTTGTGTCTCTCAAACCAGCGATCGACATTGTATGAATTTCAAATGCTTTATAAAAAAACACCATGAAAACATTGTGTTACTCTTTTCGCAGCTGGTCAGTGCCCCGTGCCGACAACCCCTCCAAATGGTGCCGTAAGTCTAACATATCTTTTATGTCTAACATTCTTGTTCAAATTGCAGCTGTCCAATGTTCGACACTATCCAACCCATCAAACGGCGGCGTAAGCTACAGCTCCAGGAACTACGGAGATGTGGCCACCTACTCATGTAACACAGGATACAGCCTGAATGGCTTCTCTACACGGACCTGCCAGTCTTCAGGGTCCTGGAGTAACACCGCACCAACCTGCCAGGGTAACATGGATCATTCTTGAAAAGGCCATGAATTTTTTTTAAATTAAGAATTGGATAGGGCTGATCACAGAAAAAGTCGATTCTTTTGTGGAAATGTTTTCTGACATGGGGCCATTTTTGACTAGAAGGACACTTTTTTTTAAAATTTGTGTCAAGTTTGGAAGGCTGCATTTTAAACTTGGATGACTTGGATCGATGGCAAATAACTCGCTCTAGGCAAAAATTATTTTGGGATGTTCTATTTTTGCACAGGGTTAAGTTTCAAACAATTTATTTTATAGGGAGGGGTATGACTAAAATATGCTGTATTTGCTCCAGAGCAAATGAGGCCTTCCTACTTAATATTTTTCTTCGTTTTTCTTGTTCATTCATTCATTCCTTCCTCCATTCATTCCTTTTTCTTTTTTTCTTTCTCTCTTGTTTCTTTTATGTCTATCTTTTCTTTTATGTCTTACATTCTTGTATAAATTGCAGCTGTGCAATGTCCGACACTATCCAACCCATCAAACGGCGGCGTAAGCTACAGCTCCAGGAACTACGGAGATGTGGCCACCTACTCATGTAACACAGGATACAGCCTGAATGGCTTCTCTACACGGACCTGTCAGTCTTCAGGGTCCTGGAGTAACACCGCACCAACCTGCGACGGTAGGAAATTCCGACAGAGTACTGATATTAGCAGATGCCGATCGGTACAGCATATTTGAAAATAAAAAGGGTACAATCTCTTTCTCTCTTTCTTCCGTCATATTTTTGGGCATCATAACAACAGGTGAGCAAATTGCAAAAGAGGTTCTTCAACTGGGGTCGTGTATGGCCATGAGAGATACCGACGATAAACAGCCTTGAAGAGGTAATAGTTTTGAAAAGAGGCTGCACAAGCTTGCCCTTGACATGAATAATTTAGTGCGATTCGGTAAGGTACATACAACGGTTTCTGTAGGGGACAGGTTCTGACATTAGTGGTGTCATGGTGCAGGGGATCTGCTATCCCAACTTTTCATCTTAGCTATTGGCTCGGAAAATACGAAATTGTGCGGCAGACAATGATTTTACATAAACAGTTCAGTGACATAGCAATTTGGCAACAGTATTACCTACCCATGAATGTGTTGTGTGTCTGGGCCGTGTTCGTGTGTGTATCAGATGATCCATTTATCAAGTTGAACGAGTTTTGTTTAGAAATAAAAATTAACGCCGACTTCTCATATATTCAGCCGGGTACCAAAAGACACAAATCATAAACGGTAAATTTAAAGAAATGTTCTTGTTTAGTATCCATATTTTCTCTAGGTAAAATTCATTGGTAGACTTCGATAGACTTATATTTTTGAAACAACTGACGTACTTAAGAATATATTGGAAACATACCACAAGAATAAATATGTGCAGAACGTTTTATACAGCTAGTGATGACTTCTTACAATATCACATTTCATTATAGCAACATTGAACGTAAATTGTGCATTGCAGATACATGTATGTTATTTCGTTACGATAAATGTAGTAGTAACGTAGAGATCGGTACAGAGTAATATTAATCCACAATTCTAGATCCACAGTCCTTTATGTTCCTTACTGCTAAGAGGACCCACATCACTTTCACATTTACAAAACTGTAATGTCTTTGATGTAGTTCAAAACTTTATTTACTGTACTGGTTGGTTCTCGTAATTGATAAATCACCAACTTGTCTTGTTGATACTCATTTTTCTTTAACCGACTTTGTAATTATGTATGTATTTTGTCATAGTGTTTTACTCACGTTAAATGTTTTAGTGGAAGGCGTCACATAAGCAATCTGTGCTTTTTGCGTCATTCACAATAAATATATGTGAATAAATAAAAATATCAATACACAATATGGTCGCCACCAACCGTCCCATGGCCCATATATGTATATGGTAAGTTAATCTCAGGGGCCTTTTCCCCTTACAAAAATGTTTTTGTCCCTCAAAGCAGCGATCGACATTGTATAAATTTCACATGCTTTATAAAAAACAGAATAGAAACATTGTGTTACTGTTGATTTTCCGCAGCTGGGCAGTGCCCCGTGCCGACGTCCCCTCCAAACGGTGCCGTAAGTTACAGCTCCAGGTACGACGGAGATGTAGCCACCTTTTCTTGCGACCCAGGATACAACCTGGTTGGTTCTTCTACAATTACCTGTCAATCAAACCTGCTCTGGAGTGGAGGCCCACCAACTTGCTCAGGTAAAATTCCAGGAACTAAAGAAAAGCACAGATACAAAGTAATAACTATCAAATGGGCTCAACATAATGAGAGACGCGCTGAAGGAAATACACCAAATGTCAACACAATCTGTTAAATGATCTTGATGGTCCCAGAAAATTGAGTAAGCTTGAATTCAGTAGACCACTAGGTCTAGATCTAGAGTAGAAAGACAGGCCAGATATGTCGTAAAGAATTGTAATATTCAGATGATGACTTTAAGCCGACGGCCCCTTGTATAATGTGAGGAAGTTTCCGTCGTTTGTCTTAAGCTACAAACCGCTGTATGTAAAATGCGTACAACGAGTGATATATACAAAGTTGACGGGTTGCATTGCGAAAACTAGGGTTAGAACAAATAATTGCTCATTTTAACCGTTTCCTGCAAAAGGTGCCGTGACAGTTGACGAATCTTAGTAAATAATAGTGTATTGACAATGCTGTTTCGTTGTTCAACAATTGATACATTTCATATGGCATTTAAGGAACTATGTAAAAAAACAGACCTTTTATTTTCAAATGTGTTTCATTCTGTTTCAGCCGTATCATGCCCAGTGCTAGCAGCGCCTGACAATGGTGGAAAGACCGGCAGCAATTTCTACCAAGACGTAGTGACGTTCTTCTGTGATCTTGGATACAATCTTGTGGGAAGCTCTAGTTCAACTTGCCAAGCTGACGCCACCTGGAGTAGGAATGTACCGACCTGTACAAGTAGGAGATACAAACTTCTTTCTAGATCTATCCTATTATATCAATTTTTATGGTCAATGATAATAATGTACTTTTGCCAGTTTTTGTAAACCTGGTAATTGAAAATACCACAGCACATAAGACTGCCAGTTCATCCACAAGATTATATATATATATATTTTAAATCAAAACAGTACAGCGTACCCTAACTACTTTTGAGAATGAGGGCACTAATACGTAATGACAGATGAAAACTAATAATTTGTTTGATATTTGAAAACACCCAGTTTGCTTAATCATCCAGATGGCCGTATAGGGATATCATAGAACACATTACAATCTGTGCACACAGTTGTCCAGTGTCCCATGCCGGGATCCCCTACAAACGGAGCAGTGAGCGGTTCTAACTCCTATGGAGACGTGTTGACCTTCACATGTATCACAGGGTACACTCTGGCCGGTGCTTCTTCACTAACATGCCAGGCGGATGGCACTTGGAGTGCGAGTCAACCAACATGTGAAAGTAAGATAGAATTGTTAACATTTGAAGAGGAATATTGTTAATATTTTTCATAACGTAAGAAATACATCCATGTTGAGGTAAATCAACTGCTAGTTCTAAAAACACAACAGTTGGATGTTTCCTGCTATCTTTTAATACTATATTTTTAAAATGTGAAGTGTGATTTTAGAAGTATTTGTCATAACGTCACAAATACAGCCATGTTGAGGTAAATCAACCGTTAGTGCTTAAAACACAACAGTTTGGATATTTGCTATTATCTAAAGAATATTGCATCGTGTTAAATAAATGAAGACCTTTATTGCACATTTCTGCCACACTTGGCTAAGTACAGGTCACAACAAAACAAGATGAATGGACACGGTTAACAGTAAACTAGACACTAGACAAAGCCGATGCGCCCATTTCTGTTAGACACATGCGTCAAACCCATTATTCTCTACGGCTCTGAAATATGGGGTTCGTCTAAAAATTCCAAATATGTCCAATTGAATCGGTTCACATAAAATTTTGTAAACAGTCATTACGTGTACCTAGGTCGTCTTGCAGTCTCGCTGCAAGGGCGGAATTAGGGAGGTACCCCATGCAAGTCGAGGCCTCCCTAAATGCCATTAAACATTTTCTAAGACTTTGCTTGAACGTGCCAGCAGGCAGTTTCAAGCGGACGCTTTCTCATGTCAATAAGTCGGAGAACCAAAGGCAGAAGAGATTGCAGGGGCTGGGGATAAATTATTCGCTGAATCGTTATCTGAATTTAGTGGATGGGTTTCTGTACCCTAGAAGATATTATCAATGTTTTACTTTCTTGAGTGTTTCCGCAGGTTGTAGCTGACCATTGACCTGCTCTGATCCCATTCATTTACAGGCTTGTGCTTTACTTTACACTCTGCTGTTGAGAAAATTTAATTTACGTCAGTAGATATTCACCCAAAATGCTGTATGTAAAAGTAAAGAGATTGTGTTTCTATTTATTTGGCTGCAGTTGGACAGTGTCCCGTAATGACAGCCCCTCCAAACGGTGCGGTAAGCGGCTCCAATGACTTTGGAGATGATGTGACCTTCACGTGCAACACAGGATACAACCTGGTCGGTGCTTCTTCACTTATCTGCCAGTCAGACCTTTCCTGGAGTGGAAGTCCACCAACGTGCTCAAGTATGATATGTCTATCTATCTAACTATCTATCTATCTATCTATCTATCTATCTATCTATCTATCTATCTATCTATCTACCTATCTATCTAGTATCTATCTATCTATCTATCTATCTATCTATCTATCTATCTATCTATCTACCTATCTATCTAGTGTCTATCTATCTATCTATCTATCTATCTATCTATCTATCTATCTATCTATCTATCTATCTATCTATCTATCTATCTATCTATAGTCCGCATATAAGCCTTCATGAATTAAATGTGTACTATACAAAAAGCTAACCTTGCATGAAAGAAACTTTACTTAACACATTTATCCATCTGTATGCAATAGATATAGTGTAATGTTAGCACCTCTGAAGAATGTTAGTGTCTATACTACTCATGTGAAACAGCATGTACTGCGCTTATCCCTCATGGGCATGAATGTGCAAATAAACATCATTGCCATGGTCATTTCAACTATGTCTTATTCCATACTCTAGTTGTACAGTGTCCAGTACTGGCAGCTCCTGACAACGGTGGAAAGACTGGCGGCAGTTCCTACCAAGACGTGGTGACGTTCAGTTGTAATCTTGGATATGACCTTGTGGGAAGCTCCAGTGTGACCTGTCAAGCTGATGCAACTTGGAGTGGGAGTGCTCCAACCTGTACACGTAGGACAAGATCAAAGTTCCTTTCTACTGAAGCAGATTAACTTTTAGTGGTCGTCATATACTGTATTTGGAATGCAGAACAATACCAAAACCAGATCTAACATAGGAATGGTAGTTGACTAACTGGTTTTTAAATTTCAAAAATTTTTCAAAAGCAGCCAGAGCTATAATTCATGATGCACACAGGGAATGACAACAATCGGTAATGACAGATGGTGAGAATTGTAAAAGTAATCTACATATGGCCAACAAAAATGGATTATGAAACGAATTTGGACTGCAATATCCAACAAAAGAAATTGGACTCACACAAATTTTCGACTGTACAACTCCAGTCTTTGTCAAGGAATGGAAACTGGAGTTGTACAGTGAGTGAGTGAGTCCAATTAAATTTCTTGTGTTGAAAATTGCAGTTGACCAACACAGATGAACTTTCAAGATAAGAAAAATGGATATTCCATTCTGTAAAGACCTTATTCTTTTATCGTGCCAGGTGTGCAGTGCCCAGCGGTGCAGTCTCCTACAAACGGTGGTTCGAGTGGCGACAACTACTACCAGGACGTGATGAGCTTCACCTGCGACCCTGGTTACGAACTGGAAGGTTTGGCGTCCATAACGTGCCAGGCAGACGCCACGTGGAGCGGCAGTGCTCCCAGTTGTGCCCGTAAGATTTCTGGTTCTGCTAAATAGTTGAAACGTTCCATTATATTTTAGTTCATGCTATCTATTCATGATATGACAAGTGTCTAATATCTATTCAGATTGATGCTATGCATTTGTAACTAAAGGCCGCCCTGAGCGATTTAGTCTAATATCCCAATTGGTTAGTTGAAGAAGATTGAACTTTGTATCATACAATTTACCACTATGGATAATATTTCATGCTAATATCTCACTCGATGTTTAGCCGTACAGTGTCCGTTGCTAGTAGCTCCTGACTATGGTGACATGAGTGGCGACAATTACTACCAGGACGTGGTGTCTTTCACGTGCGATCCTGGATACGAGCTTGTCGGACTTTCCAGTGTAACCTGCCAAGCTGACAGAACATGGAGCGGCATCGTCCCAACCTGTACACGTAAGGAAAGGAAATTTTGCCTCCCGTATAGAAGATAACTAAATTCACACGGACATGATTAGATAGCTGAAGAGGACTGAGAAATTTAGTCCAAAATCCCAATGAGTCCACTTTTAGTTGGAAAATGTTTGATATTTTTCAATAACTGAATTTATTAACTCAGATAAACTTTTATGCTTATACCTTTCTATCTGTTTAGCCATACAGTGCCCAGTGCTGGCAGCACCTGAGAATGGTGAAATGAGCGGTGACAATTACTACCAGGACGTGGTGTCTTTCACGTGCGATCCTGGATACGAGCCTGTTGGGCTTACCAGCCTGACATGCCAAGCTGACAGAACATGGAGCGGAGTTGCCCCAACCTGCACACGTAGGAAAAAGAAATTTTGTTACCTTTTCTGAAAAATGACTAAATCATACAAACATGGTTAGATAGCTGGAGGAAATTGGTGTATTCGGTAAAAATCTTAGTGTACTTTGCAGTTGGAAAACCTTTTTAACTGTTTCATGTTTAATGATACAATTTACTAACTCAGATGACTTTTCATGCTCATACCTTTCTCCCTGTTTAGCCGTACAGTGTCCGTTGCTGGCAGCTCCTGACTATGGTGAAATGACTGGCGACAATTACTACCAGAACGTGGTGACGTTCTTGTGCGATCCTGGATACGAGCTTGTCGGACTTTCCAGTGTAACCTGCCAAGCTGACAGAACATGGAGTGGCGTTGTACCAACCTGTACACGTAAGGAAAGGAAATTTTGTCTCCCGTATAGATAACTAAATTACACGGACATGATAAGATAGCTGAATATGTTCAACGCAAACTATGACTAAATGAAAGATTACTATACTTTACATATATATATATATATAATATATAATATATATATATATATATATATATATATATATA